GATGATGTAATGTTGGGGATCTAAGTTTTTGATTGGAAACTAGAATCTTGGTCAGGTTGGCCTCTTCTCTTTGTACAACAACCTACATATTTATCTTAAATAAGATGCTGACCTTTTTGAACGTGTAGAATTGAGTTCATCTAGAAGTATCTTATTAAAAAGGAGCTGAATTTAACACAACAGGATTTCACCTCCAAATTGCATACTGCCTAATTGCTAATTGGTCCCAAATGTTAAGCAATTTTTTGAAATTGAAAACTATCCCAGTTTAAAAAATGAAAAGCAGTCAACATTATAAAGCCCTTATTTTAGAACATTTAAATTAAAAAGTTATTGACTGTGTATCAATTTAAGGTAATAAAAATTGCAATTGTCTTTAAAAACCATGACTCCATTATTGTTGTCACAATTAACACAGTTAACATGTGCTCTTTTTAGAATCACTCAAACACAATGTAGGACACCAAAGCAATATAAATAACCTCGCTCTAGTAAGCAGCACATGTATATGTACAGTGGTGTCTCAGTTCACGAACTTAATCTGCTCCATAATTCTGGACAAGATGGCTGCACCCATGTTTATGTGGGAAAGATGGTTGCAGTCATGTTCATCATGAAATCAAATTGTTCACAAAGTGTTCATAACTGAAGTACCACTGTATATGTATATGTGTATGTAATTTGTGTATGCATATACATAGTAACATATATGTACATATATTAACATATGTATATATATCCATACAGAAAGGATACCAAAAAAACTACACAAAGTACTTCTTATAAAACACTAACATCCAGTTTAATCCAAGACTTTATTCAAATAATCTAACCACACACAATCACACTAATGGCCTGCACACATCAGATAAACACCCTCATAAAATCCAGAAAAGTCAACAACATGAGAAGTGACTCAGAACAGATTCAGAGGCTGTTGAATAAAAGATAATAAAGAATACTGTGTGTGAAATTACATTTTATAATTTAACAAATGTGGAGAATTTTATTCCAAGAAAAAATACCCACATTACTAGAAGTTAGCCAAAATGTTATCATGTAGATAGTTCTATAAGCATTAATGAAACTGAATATTTAATTTAAAAGTTCCAGGAAAGCAAATCTTCATGCCCGCATGATTTAAGTGGCTAATTTTGTCCAATGTTTAGTGAAGAAATTAACACTAATTTACATCATCTTTTATAAGATTGAATACAGGTGGGTAAATATTTACCATCTCATTTTTTATAGCTGGTATTACCCCAACATTATAACCCAAGACAGCATAATAACAAACTATATCTTTCATGAGTTTAAATAAAAAAACTTAACTAAATTTGAGCAAATCAATTCAGCTTTAAAGCAAAATACAATATAACTACATTAAGTCATTTATTTCATTATGCAGTGTTCACTCTGCTTTCAGGTAGGGGCAGGTAAACAGGTCAAATAATGCCATCAGCTGAAGAAGAAAAAGCATTTCCTCTAAGACTGGAACAGTCAAGGACATCTTCTTTACCAGATGATTTACACAGTATTGGAAATTATGGAGACTTCAGTAAGAGAGAAAAAAATAAAATAAGGAGATTTGAAAGAAAGAAACAAAACTCTCCTGGTAGACAATATGATTGCCTACATAAGCAACTCAAAGAAATAAAGATGAAAACCTTTATAGTGAGTGAAATGAAGTTACGGGACATAAGATCAGCAAAAGTCAATTTGCCTTGTTAGCAATCAGGTGTAAACAGAAATTAAAGCCATAATCTTAGAGCTTTCCCGAGAAAATGATAAAGTAAATACAAGTTCAATAAAACATGTAACATGTACAGATTCTGCATGATGAAAATTATAAAATACTGATGAACAAAATCTAAACTCTTAGAGGAGCATTGCTGTTTTCATGGTTTGAAAGACTCAACATGCTAAAGATGTGAGTCCCAGGCATTACACAATTGCTTACAAAATCATATCATTTTTTATTGTAGACATAGATAAAATTCCTCTAAAATTTATATGGAACAGCAAGGCTCAAAGATAGTGAATTTTAACCTATAATAAATGGTGACAAGAAGAAATAGATTTTAGATTAAAATGTACAGTATAATCCTTAAAATTATAAAATTTCTAGGGCAAGTAAATAAACTAACATTTGAGATTAAGTCTCAGCAAATAGTTCTTTGATTTGATAGCCAAAATCATGAAAGGTGCTATGGTTTAGACCTGAAATGTCCCCGAAGGCCCATGTGTTAAAGGCTTGGTCCCAGCCCCTGGTATTATTGCTGTAGCAAACACACTTATTTAAATGAGTCACCCTCAGAGGTGGAATACAGAGGCAAGAAAGTTTATTAATTGCTGGTCAGCACCCAACAAAGGATCAAGCTCTGACCTTGCAGGGCAAGAGGGAAGAAATTTATATAATTTTAGTTCCAGGTCTAAAGGGGATGGTTAGATTTTTCCTGATATGATTCAGTGCAACTACAGAAATACTACAAAGCATGGGTTTAGCTTGTGACAAAGGTGTCTGTGCTTTCCTTTAGGGGTGGGTGCAGGGTGTACAAAGCACAGGGTGGTATCATTTTAGGCAACTATGATGACAGCTTTTGACAAATCTTGGGGTGGTATCGGGTTAGGCAACTATGATGGCATTTACAAGGAACAAACTTAAGGAAACAGAAACTTGAGCTTTAAAATGGCACTAGAGTACAAAATGGCATAGATTTGGTTGCCTTTCACATATCAGTATTTGAAGGCGGTGTCCTAGTGCAGGGTCTTAGGTCACTGAGCATCTCCTTCAAGGGGGTCATGGGATGCCAGCTTTCTCGTCTTCCTTTCTCTTCACTCTAGCAGCCATGAAATATGCAGATTCTGGTGCCACATGCACCCATTATGATGCTTTGTTTTGCCACAGGCCCAAAAACAGTACTGAAAGCTCTGAACAACTTGGAGCCAAAAGAAAACTTTTCTTCACTTTAAAGTGAGTGTCTCAGGTACTTACCACAGTTATAGAAAGATGACCAACCATCTGTGAATGGACACATTGACATGTTGGAACTTATCAAAATTAAAAACTTGCTCTGAAAAAATGAAACACAAGCAGCATGCAAGAGAAAACCTTTCCAAATTACTGGTCTGGCAAAAAGTGTTGAATCTAGAACATAAGATGAACTCTTAAAAGTCAACAAACACTGAAGCAAAACAATCAATTCAGAAAATGGCCCAAAACCCCAAGCAATTTATGGAAGATAATATAGATATAGATAATAGATATATAGAGATAATATATATATTATATATAATAGATATATAGATATATAGGTATATATAGATATGTAGAGATAATATAGATAGGCAAGTATAGATATAAATAAAACAACTTTTGTAGAAATTAAAGAAATGCAAATAAAAACCACAGTGAGATAATTGTACATTTTGCCTTATAAAATAACAAAAACTTAGTATTCACTGTAAGGACTTGGGAAATGTTTACATTTGCTTTCTATCAGCAACTACTCCAATTGTCCTTTAATGTAACCATCCTGAAATCTCACATTAAAAGGTACTGTAGTATTAAATTTAAGAGTTGCATTGGGAGCACTCTGGAAGGCTGAGACAGGATGATCAAAAGTTGAAACCCAGCTTGGGCAACTTAGCAGCTTATTGAGACCTTATCACAGTTCAAAGGCCCTGAAATAGAAATTCCTTTGGGGAGATAGAATGAAAATGCAGTGGACTGTCTCTAAATTCATTTGCAATTTCCTGTGAATTTAGAATTACTTAAAAATATAAATTTAAAAAAATGACAAAACCAAAAAGATGTTTTCTGCCCGTAAGTGTTAATGTTGAGAACTTTCATCAAAGTTTAATTCAAACTTGGGGTAAATCTCAATCTAGTGCATCAATCTTTCTAAAACTTGGTTGGATCACATTTCTGAAATAAAAACGATTATATTTACCCCAGAATTTTGACAGGGTTAAATGAAACATTGTTTGTCAAATATTTACAAGATTCCTATGACATAATATGTAACAAATGGTTAAATCATAGGCTGACTTGGATGGGGGACCGTTACTACATACTTTAAAGTAGGATCCGCAGTTTTGTTCATTTTTTTTCTTTGTAAAAGGCAGATAGTGTCGTAGTGCTGCTTTAGAATATATAGGTCACGCAGTCTCAGCAGCAGCAGCTCAACTCTGTTGTTGTAAAGCAAATGCAGTTAGACATTACGTAAGTAAGTGTACATGACTGTCGTTCCGATAAAATTTTATGTATAGGTATTTAGCTGGCTGGGCTTACAAATACAAATAAAGAAAAGCAGTCTGGTGGGGTGGTGGGAGGAAGGCTCGGAGTGAAAATCATGAAGTAAAAAGAGGTCTATCTCATCAGCAACTAAAAACATAAGGCAGAGAGTGGCAAATGCAGAAGGTGCACATGTAGTCAGGGGCCCGATTGTGGGAGGCCTTCTGGGCCATGTTCACTTGAATTTTTCCTGCAGTAAGTGATGAGGACCCGCCAAAGGGCTTTAAATTTGCCAATCTCTTATCTAAAGACACAGAAAAGAGGGACTTCAGAGCAGGAATGTGTCTTTTTTAGGTTTTGCTCCTACCATGAGCACTCTTATCCACAAAAGAAAAATATTGTTAAGATAAAGAATAACTGTAAGCATGTTTTCTTTAGCGAGCAATCTCTGTAGATTTCAAGAGTTTTAATATTTGAAAGAAGTGCTTTCATTTGCAGAAATCAATAAGGTATGTATTAACAAAATATTTATTTTCTATTTAAATTTTCCTTTCATTGATTTAGTGTATTAAGAGAATAAGATATTCTGTTAAATGTTGTTAAGAAGAATATGAGTCTGTTAAGTAGAGGATTTTAGAGGACTTAGCACATGTATATAGATAAAATCACTAAATTTAGAAGTAATAAGTCTAGCAATTTTCCTGGTCAAATGACCCAGATTCAGGATTTGTATGATGACTATTTTCCATCCTCTGTATTCCAGTATAGAGAGCAAAGTCCACAGGTCTGGAGATGGGAGGCTATCAGGAAAGGCCTTCCGATGTATGCAGTCATAAGACCTCTACAGCAAGAAAGAGCACTCACAGCCTACGCAGCTGGGATACCTTCCTCCCTCTGCAGTGGATGTGCACTTTCTCCTGCTAAAACATACACACCATATGGCACCTGGTCATCCCGGAGCTGTAGCTCTTCCCATTGAGGAGGGAAGAGCGCCTTCCTCTCAGCACAAGGTGCACACTGTCTCTCTACCTTCATGGACTGCCCTGATGCACTAGTGTTTGGCAATGAGAGATTGGCATTTAGAACAAAAGCAGATCTTGTCTGTGTCTTCTTCATGTGAATAAAGCATTGTTCATCCGGGGATTTCATGAGTTATGTCTTTCTTGAAGAACATAACACCTGTAAACCATGGAGTGCACTGACATTATGGAACTACTGGTCCTGATGGCAGATTTTGCTATGCTGTTTGCTAATTCCATGCAGTGGGTTCCTGCCCTGTAGCCGTGAACAGGTTTCTTTGCTCATCATAGGTTCTGTGTATTTCCATGTCACATCTCATCAAGAGGCATACCATACTCAACTGTCTGTCAGTTAGTGATGTGAAATCTGGTCACTTCTGTGTGGTGATGACTGACTTTTTTATGAGCAGCTGTAGGTGATACTTCATTGTGATTATTCTGTTCTTCAAAAAATTTCAATCCAATATTTTAGTATTCATTGGTCATCTTTGCTTTATTTAACGTCACTATCTATAGAGTAGCAATTTTCTATTCATGTCATTCTTTTTCCATTTCTATTGGGAATATTTGGTAAAGAAATGACCTTATTCCTTATTTGAGTATCACTCTCAATCCAGAATTCAATAGAGAAATGCTCGTGAAGGTTTTAATTGTGCTTCTTGTCTTCTCTGGGACTATTCTTTGAAGAACTTTCCTTTACTTTATTTCAAACAATTTCTTTGGGCATTACTGTGATACTCAACACAAACCTCTATTTCTCTTTTTCCAACTTGAGGACATTAACTGATTACAACCTGGGTCACACTTATTCATTTTTGAGTAACTCTGTGTCAGAAATCTCCAGTATTATAAACAGAGTTTCAAGAAATGAAAATACAACACTGAAAAAACTGGTAAAAATCTCTAGCCTTAGTTTTTTAGCCATATATTTACTAAGATGTATAAAGAAGAAGCAGATAAATAAATATGATAGATTCTGTTAAGTCCTATGAAGAATAAGTAAAACATTACTGATTAGTATAGCATATAAAGTATTATAGATGTGTTTCTATTTTAGGCAAGATCAATACTATATTTTAGGTATTGTATCTCCTGGGAAGGTGATATTTAAAAAGAAGAGAAAATCTTAGGTTATCCACAACCAAGTAGGGATTGTCAGATTCCTGAGGCAGAAAATTTCATAGCACGATTGAGAAATCTCAAGGCTAATCTAGCTGTGGAGTCAAGTAGTTACAGGAGTGAGAAGTATTTTGAAGTAGGACACAAGATCAGTTATAATGAGCCATAATCCTTGGAAAGGTCTTGGGCTGTCTTGTAAACGTGCCAGTGTACTCTTGGAAGGTATTGAGCATGGGAGTTATCTGCTCTGATCTATACTTCTCAAAGATTATGTTATGTACTGAGGGGAATAAACGTAGAACAGGGAGACTAATTGTAAAGCCATTTCAGTAACCCAGGTGAGAGATCCCAATGACTTAGATGTGTAAGAATTTATAAGAAAATAAAGTAGTAAACTTCCATTAAGATGACTTTTAAAAATAATTTGTGACAGATGTGGTTAGTTACAGAAATTCACTTCACTTCTCACATAAATGAAATCCTTGTCTATTTGACCTATTAGAGTTGTTCCCTATTGACAATTTCACTGGACATTTTCATAGAAAATTTAATGTTATAAGCTTATCACTTGCTCTTTCCTTTATCTTTTATGCCATCATTTCCCTCTTTCCCTATCTACCCCTCTCTCTACATATAATTTCATTCATATTTTCATATTAAATTATATTTGCTGTACATCAAGTATCTGGAATTCTTCTGTCTCCACCAAAGGCAAGTTTCTTTTTGCAAATTACAACTGAGAAATAAGTACTATTAAAATAATAATTACACCTGCATTTGGCCAATTTGAGAAGTAATTGCCCAATTTCAGCCACAATTAGTCACTTGGCTCTATTTTTCAGGCACAATTTCATTGTCATGAGAAACAAACAAACAGAAAAGCTGTGGTAGCTATTTCTTTTACAATCTGCCTACTAATGAGCCTGCCTTCCCAACATACTTTTTCTTCACTTGAGTAGTTCAGCAAAGTACTTAACAGTTCCCCGGGGGGGTTCCTTGAATTGGAGCAAAAGAAATAAATTTCCCTATATTGAAAGTTTTAGAACAGATTCTAAAGGGCTATCGGTCATTTCAAAGTCACCTTTTTCAAGCCATTGCCTTTTGGGTATAAAAAATTTAGTGAATCTTTTGACTCAGAAAATATCAGAATCATGATGAACGATCAGATTTCCTAAAGAGACAAATTATTATAGAATTCTACAGTCTATGCCACCACTTTTAAATGCTTAAATGTGTTTCTGATCCATACTACAAGGCAATATTGGGATTTACCTGTCTTCTGTGTTCTTAGGAAATTGAAACAGTTAAGAAATGCTTCCCACTCCTACCCTTTTGTGCTTGGGAACCAACTACTAACTGAAAAGCCCCAGCTGGCCCTGGTGCATCCCATTTACTTTAAGATAAAACCTTTTTGTCTCTCTAGTAACTTCTATAAGAACAGGGAATATCGTGGTTATTCCCCTGCATCTATAAATTCCAGGGACTCCTTCCCTGTCTATATTTCTCATTTTGAACATGCAACTTATTTCAATCACATGAAGAAAGCTGCTCTCTGAGCTGTCCAGTGCTCTTCTTTTTCACATAACAAACTGAAAATTGTTTATAAACTTCAATAAATGGAAAGCAAAGTTATACTTCAAAAGTGGAAACATCAGAGTTTACAAACATACAGACAGTTAAAATTGCAAAAGACATAATTAATAGTGACATTAAAAAATCCACCTGTAATTCTGTGCAGAAGTTTTATTAGGGATCTTTCACATAATTAGCAAAGTCAGATTATAGTCATAGTATTTTCATTTTCATGATGTAAAACTTGTTTTTAATAAGTTGAGAGAAAGCAGAACTATTTGGTAGAGTTATAAACACTGAAATGAATAGTGTTAAATTGTAAATATATCCAGGAAAACACAGTAAAGAGTGGTAAATCTAATACTTGAAAGAATGGGGTAAAACACTATAAATTCAGAGGAACTGACTAAAAATTGAAAATATCCATACATATTCCTACAAGTAAACGTGATATGCAAAAATAAAAGCCAAATATTTGAAAGCATGTAATACTAAGAAATGTCAATATTCTTTACAAAAGTAAGCCCTTCTACATACAGTGGGAAAAGAGCCTCAAAATAACTAGAAAGAAAGTAACTAAGAGAAAATTTGAACAGCTAATGAATATATGTGGGAGCTCAATGGAAATGTAAAATTAAAGAATGCCGTATTTTCTAAATTGTTCATTCCCTGACCCCTTCTCCCTCTGTTACCCCCTACTTTCCTCCACTTTCTCCATGTTTTCCTCCTTTTCCGATGATATTTTTAGTATACCATAAAATTTTAGAGTTCTTCATATTTAACCTAATAAAACAATGCTAAAAATCCCCTCTGAATAAAAATGACAAGGGTAAATTTTTATATAAAATCAAGTCATAATGTAACCATATTAGGGGAGCATTGGAACCAAACTAAGTGTTCTACAACGGAGAAAGTGGCTAGATAAATTTTGCCATGTTTAAACATATACAACGTGAAAGCTTACCAATTAGGCTACTGATGAATAAGTGATATACGGAAATACACCAAGACATTAATTTTGGGTGAATTTGTTATACACCTTTATTTTCTCTGTTTCCAAATATACACGTTTTTTACTTCAGTGATTAAAGTAAATGTCCTCATAATAAATTCCTCAAATCTTTTAAAGACTGTTTCCATTACTTCCACAAATCCTGTGAATTTGGAATGAAAATGAGTGCTTAACTCACTTAGAAGAGAGCTACTGTGACCCAGTGAAAACTGAAATGTGTATGTCAGCATATAGTAACTGCTCCTGAGCCAGGAATGCACTCAGTGCCAGGGCGCACGCACAGCAGATGGGAGGCGCTGGGCTTGGTCCCAGTGCCATGAAAAAGAAAAATTATAAAAAGTAGACATTATTTTCTAGAAGTCACCTAAGCTAAAAAATGGTTCTTTACTTTTTTCTTTAAAAAGTCAAACCAGACTGGAGTCAAATTTCTCAGATTAAATTCCTAGACTCTATTTTTAAAATCTTAATCTTCATCTTGTATAATAGACTTATCACTTATCTCACTTTTTAGTAATGAAATGTTAAGAAACATGATATGTGGAATGTCCTTCTTTCGTTTTGCTGGAAATGGGAAACATGAGCCTGAAGATGCCTCTATAGGCCTGCTTCCAGCAATTAAGATTAAATGCAGCATAATAGGCAAGAGAAACGATAATTGTACTTGTTAAATGCAGCCCCCATTTAGCTATCAAATAGGAGTGTGGGAAAAGAAGAGTATTGTCATCCATGGAGATATTTTCAGACAATCACAATAATCTGCATTACAATATTCTTTCCAGTGAAAAAAGAAGCCATTATACCCACTCACAGGCAGCAGCTCAGTGAGAGCTGCTCAGAGTTGACGCCTTAAATGTGAACATCTGCTTCTATCATTAAAGCTAGCAGAGTGCTGTTAATTACATGTCTTCATCTATTTTCAGTATCTGTAAATATATAATTCAGGATTTAGAAAAGTAATCCCCATTATTTAAACAATTACTTTCAGCATCTAATGATATTATGTGTATCATTCATGCAAGTGGCTACTTCTTTTCCACGCACACACATGCACAAACTAACATGCAATAGCTGGTTCTCCTGTAACATTTCTCTGTGTTACATGTATATTGTTATTTCATATATACATGATATGTGTACACACACACATACACAAGCACACACTGATGTATACAGACATATAGAGACAACTATGAACTTGTATATGACAGTTGGAAATTAAAAATAAAAGCTAGAAATTATAATTTACCGCATTAAACACAATGAATTAGAAAAGAAGAGCCTAGCATATTTTAATTCACGCCTCTCCCCCACTTAATGTATTTATATACAAACACAGAAAGTAAATTCACAATGTTCTCCAAGAATGTATTAGAGTATTACAATGCAAAGAAGTGAAGAGAAAGAGGCCCACAGGACTATTA